CAGGCAATTATCCTGCCTCAGCCTCCTGAGTAGCTGGGATTACAGGCATGCGCCACCATGCCCAGCTAATTTTTTGTATTTTTAGTAGAGACGGGGTTTCACCATGTTGACCAGCATGGTCTCGATCTCTTGACCTTGTGATCCACCCACCTCGGCTTCCCAAAGTGCTGGGATTACAGGCGTGAGCCACCGTGCCTGGCCCCGGAAGCTAGACCTCTTAAGCTTGAGGTTTCCTTGGTGGGTTTTATTTAGATTAAATTAAAATATTTATGTTACAGGGAAAAACTTCAAAACAAAACACTTTACAACTTTGGGGTAAAAGTTAAATAAAACACTCTCGCCCCAAATTAAGTTCCCACTGAAATGAGACTTTTGCTCCTCTAAAAAAAAAAAAATCCATATATAGTAAATAATGACTATTTTAGAGATTAATTTAGAAACTTAATCCCTACCTAACAGCTTTCATGTACATTCATGCGTTGCTTGCCATGTGAGGAGGAGCTTGAGAAATGCGTCATTTGGTGATTTCACCATTATGCTAACATCATAGTGTGTACTTCCACAAACCTAGGTGATATAGCCAACAGCACACCTAGGCTATACGGTATGGCCGATGGCTCCTAGGCCACAACCCTGTAACACGTTACTGTTAGAAGTTAAATTTTCAGTGCCGCAAAGGAAATAGCACTTGACTATGAATTTTCTAAGCAAGGCAATTTTACTTTCTGCAGAAAGGGTGCTTCTTAGAAGTATGATTGTCATGAAAACACATTGAACAAATAAAAGCAGAAGTTTTTGTCCCTGACGCACTGGGTCCTTACTGCTGTGTCCTATCTCCATTGGCTGGAGCTGGACTATACCATCTAGACTGATCTCAATTGGCTAAAAACTTAAAACTTTCCTAAATAGGTAAATGCACGATGGAGAACAAAGAAAGCAAGGTTGCTATTTATGGGAAACTAGGAGAACAATAACATTTCTGAATAAGGAAAAGGTGTAGCTGTAAGCCGGGAGATGCCTGGGCATGTTTGGACCTGTCTGAGCAGCTATAGGCCAAAATAAATAACTTGGTTAAAGTACAAGGACATAGAATGTACTTATTCCCTTACTATATTTAGCAGCTACATAGGGCATAACAAAGAGTTGTTAGCAAAAAGCAAGGAAGCTTGAAGGAAGTTAGTTTTTAAAACCGCACAAGAGCAGTTTACTGAAAACTTCCCAGAAACTAACCCTCAAAAAGATGACCCAGGGACCATACCTTGGGTAAAAGGGACTTCAGAGTAAAGGTTAATCATAGAAGAAAACTCTAGCTTTTTTAAAAAGAGAGTTTGGAAACTTATTTTTTCTTCCCAAAAGAATCAGCAGCATGGGCAAACTGGGTCACAGTTTACCTCTTCCTGATTCAGAAATGTGTAATAAAGTATGGTTTGCAGCTTTTAAAAACTATTTTTTAAAACTAGTAAATAGTGACTGAATCAATTTATGCAGTAAGTAGACTAAAGTTCACAGGGCACGGATGAGTTTATCAAACTTCATTATTTTATCTTGTCATTTACAACATCCATATAAAGCAACTAGCCAAGCAAAATTCATATACATAAATGTACATGTGTTTTTGTTTCTATATATTCATGTAAGATGCACAACAAAAGAAACATCAAAAGTTTATAAAAATACATCTGACTATATGCATCATTATCTGTGCCCTTTAGAACCTAGATAAAAAATGTTGAGAAAACATGGGTAGTGGCGCATACATTTTGTTATCTTGAAATAGCCTAAGTAATATTATTGAAGAACTAATGAACAGGCAACATGTTGTAAAAAATTAATCTTTCATTGTTCTGTGAAGAATCTGTTGATTTATACTACATATTCAGCATTTATATTTGGTTTGTTTCATAGCTAATGAGATATTTAGATATGAACAACTGAATACATATTGAAATAGTGTGCTGGCATTTGTAGTTTTGATAAATACCATTGCAGGCAATGGAGTTGTGCCAGAGAAATCTGATTTCTAGTACAAAAGGAATACTTAGCCAGGGCCTAAAGCCCAAGATATTTATTGAAAACATCCTCAGTTGCAATAAAAACATTATAACATTAAAAAGAGTGATTTGTTGAACCGGTGATTTAAATGTATTGATCTGCTTTGAATTTGTAATCAGCCAGAATTTGCTAGTTAAAATTGGCAGAGTTATAACAAAGGAAAACCTCAAAGATTAGACACTTGCAGTGCAGCTTTCTGGGTGCAAGTGTCACTGCTCTGCCAGCTATCATTATTCTGTTCAGTTTTTCTCTCAGGTGTTTGCTGGGAAATTAACATTGGAATTGACCCTTCTCTGGCAGTGAATGTGAACGCTAGCCTCCCTATTTACTATAAAGAAATGTCTTCAAGATGTAGAAGTAAGGACCATTCTGAAAAAAATTATACAGTAGTCAAGATAATTCAGAAAGGAAAAGCTACCTGTTAGAGCTTCCAGTCTTAATGGCACAGGGTAGTTAGGGAGAAAAGGGGATGGAGAAAGAGAAACTATGACTAAAAATGAGAGGTATGTCCCTTAAGC